CTGTCTATCTGACTGTCTATCTGTGTGTCTGTCTGTGTCTGAAGGAGCCTGCTCAGCATCCTTCCCGGAACCAGCCTTCCACTCCTGTGAGCCCTGACCTGTCCAGCCGGAATCTCCCCCTCTCACAGCTCTCCATGCTCACTCTGCACACCCGCAATGACCTCATCTCCTCGGCATGCACCTCCCCTCAAGTGCTGGGTGCCCGCACTCTCCCTCCCCTGCCCTCCTGCCCTCAAGTCCATCCCAGCGCCTGGCATCCTGTCCCTCTCCCCCTCCCCCTCCCCCTCCCATTCCCCCTCCCCCTTCCCCCTTCCCCCTCTGCTTCCCCCTCCCCCTCCCCCTCTGCTTCCCCCTCCCCCTCCCTCTCCCCCTCTCTGAGCCAGTTCCCATGGCCCTGCTGTGGCTCCTCAGGATGCAGCTTTCACTCCAGTGACCGGGTCAGAGACGCCGAGGAAGGCGTGGAAACACCCGATGGCACCCCTCACCGCCTCATATCAGCAATGATCAGGGCAGGCCGCGTGGCTCCGTGGCTGACCTCTGAACCAGGAGGTCAGGGTTCGATTCCCCATCAGGGCACAGACCCTGGTTGTGGGCTCCATCCCCAGAGGGAGGGAGGGAGGGAAGGAGGAAGAGAAGGAGGGAGGGAGGGAGGGAGGGAAGGTGGGTGAGAGGGAGGGAGGGAGGGAAGGTGGGTGAGAGGGAGGGAGGGAAGAAAAGTCTAAATCCCAGCTGAAGTCCCTGCCTTAAGACTGAGCCCTTGGCCCTGGCCATGGCCATGAAATGTGGAGCCACAGCGCCCTCTAGTGGTGGAACTGGCAGTGGCCTGGGTTGCAGTGAAGGTTGTGCTGAGATCTCTGCAGGCTGGGATGGCAAGCCCTGGCCAAACAGCCCCTCCACCCACAGCAATACCACCAGTGCCCCCAGGCTGACCGCTCTGCACCTCTGAACTACGCCCCGATGCCACACTGCCGCCTGCCATGGCATGCCTTACTCCCGGTGGTCAGAGCGTGCGTTGTCCTAACTGCCTCCGAGTGGGCCTGGAGCGCCCCGTAAGCCAGCCTGGAGCCCCGTAAGCCAGCCTGGCGCCCCGTAAGCCAGCCTGGAGCCCCGTTAGCCAGCCTGGAGCCCCGTTAGCCAGCCTGGAGCCCCGTTAGCCAGCCTGGAGCCCCGTAAGCCAGCCTGGAGCCCCATTAACCAGCCTGGCGCCCTGTAAGCCAGCCTGGAGCCCCGTTAGCCAGCCTGGAGCCCCGTTAGCCAGCCTGGAGCCCCGTAAGCCAGCCTGGAGCCCCGTTAGCCAGCCTGGCGCCCCGTAAGCCAGCCTGGAGCCCCGTTAGCCAGCCTGGAGCCCCGTTAGCCAGCCTGGAGCTCCGTTAGCCAGCCTGGCACCCCGTTAGCCAGCCTGGAGCCCCGTTAGCCAGCCTGGAGCCCCGTTAGCCAGCCTGGAGCCCCGTAAGCCAGCCTGGAGCCCCGTTAGCCAGCCTGGCGCCCGTTAGTCAGCCTGGAGCCCCGTTAGCCAGCCTGGAGCCCCGTTAGCCAGCCTGGAGCCCCGTTAGCCAGCCTGGAGCCCCGTTAGCCAGCCTGGCACCTGTTAGTCAGCCTGGAGCCCCGTTAGCCAGCCTGGAGCCCCGTTAGCCAGCCTGGAGCCCCATAAGCCAGTCTGGCGCCACGTAAGCCCGCCTGGCACCCCGTTAGCCAGTCTGGCGCCCCGTTAGCCAGCCTGGCGCCCCGTAAGCCCACCTGGTGCCCCGTTAGCCAGCCTGGCGCCCCGTTAGCCAGCCTGGAGCCCCGTTAGCCAGCCTGGCGCCCCGTAAGCCAGCCTGGCGCCCCGTAAGCCAGCCTGCCGCCCCCCCGTAAGCCAGCCTGGAGCCCCGTTAGCCAGCCTGGTGCCCCGTTAGCCAGCCTGGCGCCCGTTAGCCAGTCTGGCGCCCCGTTAGCCAGCCTGGCACCCGTAAGCCAGCCTGGAGCCCCGTTAGCCAGCCTGCCACCCCGTTAGCCAGCCTGGCGCCCCGTTAGCCCGCCTGGAGCCCCGTAAGCCAGCCTGGCGCCCCGTAAGCCAGCCTGGCGCCCCGTAAGCCAGCCTGGCGCCCTGTAAGCCAGCCTGGAGCCCCGTTAGCCAGCCTGGAGCCCCGTTAGCCAGCCTGGCCCCGTAAGCCAGCCTGGAGCCCCGTTAGCCAGCCTGGCGCCCGTTAGTCAGCCTGGAGCCCCGTTAGCCAGCCTGGAGCCCCGTAAGCCAGTCTGGCGCCCCGTTAGCCAGCCTGGAGCCCCGGCAGCAGCGAGGGGCCCTCCTGCCCCGGCTCCGACCACCTTCCCAGCCACGCAGCGCCTCCGTGACGAACGCCCACGGCCACAGTCTGACCACCGAGGCCACGGCGCTGCCCACACCAGCCTGGCCGGTGCGGGGACACGTCTCCCTGAATACGAAGCGGAGGTGCCGTCCCCGTGCTCTGTCCCTGGGGGTGAGCGGTCACCCGCCCTTCACCCCTGTGGGTCCCCTGTGGTGTCTGCCGGTAGCCGACCCCTCCCTCTCTCCGACCAGAGCGACCGCTCCCCGGCCCGCGCACCCCGGCCCGCTGACGGGACCCCCCTCCGTCAGCCTGGCCCCCGGAGGGCGCCCGCTCCGGGCCGGGTGGGAGCACGGGGGATGGAGACCCGCCGCCCTCCACCCTCCTCAGGGACCCGCCAGGCGCCTGGTCCTCGGGGCAGCCCCTCGCCGGGCAGCCTGGGGCGGCGCCCTGCTGCATCCCACACACACACACACACACACACACACACACCCGCACGTGGACCCTGGGCCACGTGCCCCCTGGGCCACGTGCCCCCACAGGCAGGGGGCAGTGCTGCGGCCTCCGGCGCGTTTGCCTGAAAGAAGCAGCGATTCTGAGAAGCCAGGGCTGCCGATCGCCAAGGGCACCCACAGGGCTCACGGCATTGTCCCCCAAGGCCGACACGGGCACGCAGACCCCAAGGGGGCACCAAGGCCCCGGGAACCTGCTTCTTCCAAACAGCGCGGCCCCAGCACCTTCGGCCCCCACAGCCGGGCGGGACACCGTCCCGGTCCAGGCTCCGGCACAGGCCCGCGGGCTCCTCCCCTCCTGCGCCGCCTGGCTGTTCTAGCGGCTCCGAGGGAAAAGGCAGCTTCCCTCGCATCACAGGCTGGCAAGACAAGCCTCTTACAGGCTCGGCAGGCCCCGCTGCAGAGCAGAAACCACGTCTGACAACACGGGCCTGTCATGGCGGGGTCAGCAGGAGCCTTCCGTAACCAGGAGGGGAGGACGGAGCCGGGCCCTCCTGCTCATCCCTGTTCTCTCAGCGCCACCTAGGGGTGACAGGGGTCACAGCGCCCCCGAATGTGCAGCCCAGCGGGGCCCAGGGTGAGCTGTGCACTGGGGGTGACCGTGGTCAGACAGGTGTGTGTGAAATCTACCTCCCTCTCAGTGTGGCCCTCACACTGCTCCAACACTAAAATCTGCTCAAATACCCTGACTCAAAGAAATGCAAAGCCATTCCATTCTTCCCCGTGAGCCACGGTTGCCACACAAAAGGGCCACTTCCACGGAAGCAGGCGCTCTGCTTTAGCGCAATAGTCAGATTACAAATGCCAGCCTTCGCTGCCCAGGCCACGAGGGAGCCGCCCCGCCCAGAGCGAGCAGCCGACCAGCCCCCACCTGGGCCTGGGCCCCAGAAAGGGTGCAAGTCTTTCCAAACCGGCTCGCTGACCCCGCCCCGCCCCTCCCCGCCCCTCCTCTGCCCCTCCCTGCCCCTCTCCTGTCCCTCCCTGTCCTTCCTGCCCCTCCCCTATCCCCTCCCCTATCCTTCCTGCCCCTCCCCTGTCCCTCCCCCGTCCCTCCCTGTCCTTCCTGCCCCTCCCCTGCCAGCTGGCTGGCCTCCAGGAACAGACTCAGTTTCGGGGTTGCCTTGGTTACCCGAGGAACACAGCACCATCCCTCCGAGCGTGAACAGGCCTTGAGGACCTAGAAAATACCCCAAACCAGCGACTGCCGGCCGGGCCGCAGGGGTCTCAAACACACGACACTTATCTAGCCGGGCACAGCCCTCTGTTCCCTCGGATGACTAAACAAAAAACAAGCCCGTGGCAGCAAGGCCATGGATTGGACTCCCAGACACAGGCACGGACCTGGGCGGCAGGCTCCTCGGGCCCAGGGGCGTGTGTGGGAGGCACTCAGCCGACGTGGTCTCCCACGTGGAAGTTCCTCTCCCACTCTCTCTGGAACTCAGCGGGGAAACATCCTCAGGGGAGGGTTACAAAGAGAACGAACAGCAGCCACCTGGAGCAGGCAGGAAGCGGGAGGGGAGCGGCGGGCCCCACGCCCGTGTGTGAACATCAGGAGGGCATCTCGGGGTCAGACGGGCGTCACGCCAGCCCCACGCCAGTCCTCCCAGCCAGCCCGGGTTCGGGCGTCAGGGAGAGAAGTCCCTTGACTTCCGGCTGTAAAACCCAGCAGGGGTGAAGGCTGAGGGAGGCGGAGGCAGCTGGAGTCCCAGGTGTTCCTCTTAAAGGGCCGGAGCGTGGACTCCCTCCCTCTGAGCTCCAGCATCGGGACAGCAGCTGACAGGGTTACACATGGGGGGACGCGGAGTTACCTGGCATCGCGGTGAGGCTGGGGCGGTTCTCTCTCAGACAGAAGGGTGGCAGTGCTGTGTTCTTCCATGAGCCTCCCCCCTCCCACAGAGCCGGCAGGTGGGCACCCAATTTGAGCCGCCACCAGCCTGGCTCACACCATTCTCCCCACCCTAGTGACTCCCTGAGGCCCTGTCCCACCCACCTGCAGGCCCACCCACGCTCACCCACACAAAAGGCCTATCTTGGCTCGTGCTTTAGATCTTCCTAAAATCCCTCCAGTAACCGGCTCAGCTTGGGGGGCCTCCCCCCAGGTGCTCAGAGTGAAGGGTCCTTGTGGGCTGCATCCTGCCTGACCACAGTAATGGAAGGCGGAAGGGAGGCGGTGAGGGTGACCAGGTGCACAGAACCACAACGAGTAGCCTCGTAAAGCTTTATTCGTCGCAAGCAAGAGAACACACAGTGGCAGCGGCACGGCCTACAGGGCTCCAGCCAGGAGCCGGGGTGCTGGGTCACGTTGGCACAGGGGTCCACCCCGGGGTGGAGGACAGGACACCCCACACGACCCTGGCTTCCCGCCTCAAGGGCCCTAAACTAGATGGAACAAGCACCAAAGCCAAACACGCGTGGCGCAGGCTCGCTCTCCGGCCACGCATGGGGTCACTCAGCTGGTGACACGCACGGGGCACGGGGCACGGCACACGGCACACGGCCCGCGCCCGCGCCCGCGCCCGCGGCGCCGCCTCACGGGGCCGGGCCGGAGGCGGAGGCGGGGATGAGCTTGGGCGTGGCCTGCTGGGGCGGAGGCACGTCGGGGATGGTCTCGCCGTGCTGGTACACGCTGACCGTCACGTCGATCTTCTCGCCCCCGTACTTGTTCTTGACGCTGATGCTGTACTTGCCCGAGTCCTCGGCCGTCACGCCCTTGATGCTCATGCTCACGTGCTTGGCCTGCTCCACCTTCACCGAGAAGTGGTCGCTGAGCTCGATGTCCTTGTCGTTCTTGAACCACACCACCTCGGGGTCCGGGTTCCCGAACACCGTGCAGGTCAGGTTCAAGGTCTGCGGGAGGGAGGGGCAGAGGTAGGGAGACAAGGTCAGGCTCCATCGGAATGGCCTGACCCTCCTCGTGGTCCTGTACATCAGCCATTGAGTCAGCATGCTCCTTACACACATGAGCACCACGCCAGGCCCCGGGGCCCCAGGCCGCAGGACACAAACAAGGGCGGCGTCACGAGCAATCCCACCGACAGGGGCCGGTCACCGCGGCCAGCGGCGCTGCTCACGTTCCCAAGGGCCGGAGCCTGAGGGCGGCCCGCCTTCCCAGGCAGGTGTGTCCCATGGGCGTGGGGGTGGCCTCCCCAACCTCGATGGCCCTCCTCCCCCTCAAACCCAGGACCAGGGCCCAGACCCTGGAGGACTCAGCACAGGACCATGTGATAGGCCCAGGTATTAGCACAGGGTCACCGGGGGCAGTGGGCCAAGCAGGGGGGTGGGGACCCCAGGCCCAGGGGGGGAGGGGGACAGCCCAGGCCCAGGGGGGGAAGGGGGAGCCCAGGCCCGCGGGGGGGGGGGAGCCCAGGCCCAGGGGGGGAGGGGAGCCCAGGCCCAGGGGGGAGGGGAGCCCAGGCCCAGGGCGGGGGGAGGGGAGCCCAGGCCCAGGGGGGAGGGGAGCCCAGGCCCAGGGGGAGAGGGGAGCCCAGGCCCAGGGGGGCGGGGGGGAGCCCAGGCCCAGGGGGGCAGGGGGGAGCCCAGGCCCAGCGGGGGGGTGGGGAGCCCAGGCCCAGGGGGGGAGGGGGGCAGCCCAGGCCCAGGGGGATGGGGGAGCCCAGGCCCAGGGGGGGAGGGGAGCCCAGGCCCAGGGGGGGAAGGGGGCAGCCCAGGCCCGGGGGGGAGGGGAGCCCAGGCCCAGGGGGGGAGGGGGGAGCCCAGGCCCAGGGGGGGGAGGGGAGGACCCCAGGACCAGGGGGAAAGGGGGGGAGCCCAGGTCCAGGGGGGGAGGGGAGCCCAGGCCCAGGGGGAGAGGGCAGCCCAGGCCCAGCAGGGGGGGGGGGGGGAGCCCAGGCCCAGGGGGGGAGGGGAGCCCAGGCCCAGGGGGGGAAGGGGGGAGCCCAGGCCCAGGGGGGGAGGGGAGCCCAGGCCCAGGGGGGGGGGGGGGCCCAGGCCCAGCGGGGGAGGGGGGAGCCCAGGCCCAGGGGGGGAGGGGAGCCCAGGCCCAGTGGGGGAGGGGGGGAGGCCAGGCCCAGGGGGGGAGGGGGGAGCCCAGGCCCAGGGGGGGAGGGGAGCCCAGGCCCAGTGGGGGAGGGGGGGAGCCCAGGCCCAGGGGGGGAGGGGGGAGCCCAGGCCCAGGGGGGGAGGGGAGCCCAGGCCCAGCGGGGGAGGGGAGCCCAGGCCCAGCGGGGAGAGGAGCCCAGGCCCAGCAGGGTGGGGAGCCAGTGCCGAAGGTGGAGTGACAGGCATGTGCCCAGCCCCGCCTGGCCCTTTGCGGGCGGCAGCCACGGCTGAGCCGTGAGCCCGGGCCTGCGTCCGCCTCACCTTGCCTTCCATTATGGTCACCACGTCCGGTAGGCCGCCGATCACCTTGCCGCGGTCTGTAAGGGAGAGACTCGGCTGAGAACCCTCAGGGGTGTCTCCCTCCCCCGCCCCCGCTGAGCCCGGCTGTACGCAGGTGCACACAGGTGCTCAGCCACTCGAGGGGGCGGCACCGAGGGCGGGCTGGAGGCCAGGAGGGACTGGGTGGGAACTGGGGCACAGGAGGGCCCCTGGGGCTGACTGAACTAGGGGAGCGGCTGTCAGTCTCTCAGGGAAGGGGTCTGCATGCGGGGGGCCTGGGGGCCTGCGATCCACACGCCAGCCACAGAGCCTGAGCCCAGGGCCCGGGGCCCGGCCACCAGGGACCACGCCCACAGCCCACAGCCCCAAATGTGCGATCCAGCCGCCCGTGTCCCCGCCCGCCCACTGCCCAGAAAAACCAGCGAGGGCGTGGCCTGTCCGCTCCCCCATCCTGTCTTCCCCTCCGGACCCCACCCTGTGCTCCCCACACGGGCCTGTCCTAGACTCTGTCTCCTCCTGCAGCCCCCCTGCCTGACTACCTCGCAAAACAACACAGAACAGGTGGGTGGTGGCAGGACAGGTAGCCAGGGGTGCTGGAGGCCTCAGGGGGCAGGGATGAAGAGCGCAGGGGTGAGGAGGGGGGAAGGTGTGAGAGGGCAGGGGTGAGGGGCCAGGGGTGAGGAGGGGGGAAGGTGTGAGAGGGCAGGGGTGAGGGGGACAGGGGTGAGGAGGACAGGGGTGAGGGGGGCAGTTGTGAGAGGGCAGGGGTGAGGGGGCAGGGGTGAGGGGAGCGGGTGTGAAGGGGGCGGGTGTGAGGGAGGTGAGGCATGCAGGGTGCCCCATGTTCCTGTCGCCCCCAGTACTTACTCTTCTCTGCAAACGCAGCCGCCCTGGGCGTCAATGGGGAGGAGAGAGAACAGAAGAGAGTGGTGAGGAAACGCACCCACACATCCGGCAGGGGATGGGCGGCTGGGGGCAGGGGGAGGGGGCGCCGGCTGCAGGGGAGGGGCGGCTGGGGAGGAGAGGGGACGCCTGCTTTCTCTGGAGGACACGCCTTTCCCGGTGCCCCGCCCCCCCTGAGCGGGGACGCCCCGTCTGTCTGGGCTGCCCAGAGGCACAGGTTCGTTCAGACTCAGAGGCACAGGAGCTCCTCCCCGCTGATTCCTCGGATGCCCCGGAGCGTCCAGCGCTTGGGGCATGCTGGTCCTAACCATCTCGCTCCCCGCACCCATCACAGACAGTCCCTCTGGTCCTAACCGTCTCGCTCCCAGCACCCATCACAGACAGTCCCTCTGGTCCTAACCGTCTCGCTCCCCGCACCCATCACAGACAGTCCCTCTGGTCCTAACCGTCTCGCTCCCCGCACCCATCACAGACAGTCCCTCTGGTCCTAACCGTCTCGCTCCCCGCACCCATCACAGACAGTCCCTCTGGTCCTAACCGTCTCGCTCCCCGCACCCATCACAGACAGTCCCTGCGCGGCCGGAGCTGCCGTGCGGGTGTGGGAGGCTCGTCACTGCCCCGCGGGCAGGGCTCCGTGGTGGAGCGCTGACCCGGGAACCAGGAGGTCCCGGGTTCGAGAACTCAGTGAGGCACGGGCCCGGGCTGCGGGCTCCACCCTCGTGTGGGGCGCGGAGAGGCAGCCGAGCCGTGGTTCTCTCATCACTGAAGTTTTTCTCTCTCTCCATTCACCTTCCCTTCTGAAATGCGTAAAAATATACATTAAAAAAGAAGGAAATCCATCGCTTTCTCGCAGAAACCACACGGGTGCCCCTGCCTCAGCAGTGGCCGCCATCCGCTCACGTGCGGAGCGCCCGCGTCTGCAGACACGGCTCACGCTGCCCTCGCACCCGGAGCCCGGAGGGACGGCCCGGCCCCGGGCCGCCCACAAGGCCCGACCCGGACGCGCCTTCGCCGCGAGCGAGTCTTACTTGAGCTGCTGGAACTCGGCCAGCGCGTCGTCGAAGGCTGCAAGGAAGCACACAGCGTCACCCCCGGCTCCTGCCCGCCACCCGGTGCTCTGCCCGGGGACGCCGCCGGCAGCGCGCACCGGGCCCGTGACTCAGAAACCCCCATGGATCCCCACACCCAGGGCTGCCCGCCCGCGGGCCACACGCCTCCGCACGCCTCCACACACCTCCACACACCTCCACACGCCTCCACACGTTTCCACACGCCTCCGCGTGCCTCCACACGCCTCCGCACGCCTCCACACACCTACACATGTTTCCACACGCCTCCACACGCCTCCACACACCTCCGCACGCCTCCGCACGCCTCCGCACGCCTCCACACACCTCCGCACGCCTCCGCACGCCTCCACACGCCTCCACACACCTCCGCACGCCTCCACACACCTCCACACGTTTCCACACGCCTCCGCGTGCCTCCACACGCCTCCGCACGCCTCCACACACCTACACATGTTTCCACACGCCTCCACACACCTCCACACACCTCCACACGTTTCCACACGCCTCCACACTCCACACATTTCCACACGCCTCCACACGCCTCCGCACGCCTCCACACACCTCCACATGTTTCCACATGCTTCTGCATGCCTCCACACACCTCCACACGTTTCCACACGCCTCCGCACTCTACACGTTTCCACGCGCCTCCGCACGCCTCCACACGCTACCACACATCTTCGCACATTTCCACACGCTACCATATATCACATGTCTCCACGTGTTTCCACACGTCTCCACACATTTCCACACACCTCCACACGCCTCCACACACCTCCACACGCCTCCGCACGCCTCCACACACCTCCACATGTTTCCACATGCTTCCGCATGCCTCCACACACCTCCACACGTTTCCACACGCCTCCGCACTCCACACGTTTCCACGCGCCTCCGCACGCCTCCACACGCTACCACACATCTTCGCACATTTCCACACGCTACCATATATCACATGTCTCCACGTGTTTCCACACGTCTCCACACATTTCCACACACCTCCACATGCCTCCACACGCCTCCACACATATCCGCACATCTCCACATGCTACCACACATCTCCACACGTATCTACACATTTTCACATGTCTCCACATGCTTTCACACATCACATGTCTCCACGAACCTCTGCATGCCTCCACACGCTACCACACATCCCCACACGTCTCCACATGCCTCCACACACCTCCACCCGTCTCCACTTGTCTCCACACACCTCCACCCATCTCCACACACCTCCACATGCTTCCACACATTTCCACACGTCTCCACGCGCCTCCACACATCTCCATGCGCCTCCACACACTGAGCCCAATTCTCGGGGGACGCTGACCTTGGCCGGACAGGTCGAGCGAGCGCTGGTGGTTGTCGGTGCCGTCCGAGATCTCGAAGGTGAACTTGCCCTTGTCCTTCTCCGTGGGCTCGCAGATCTGCAGCCAGGCCATCTCCTCGCTGCCGCCCGCCCGCATGTGCTCGCTGGACGCGATCTTGGCGTCTCTGACGAGAAAAGGCAGCGGGACCGTGAGAGTCCGGACCCCAGCCCCATGCAGGTCCCCAGGGGCGGCGGCCGGCGTGGCGGGAGCGTGTCCAGCGGGCCAACGCCTGTGTGGGGACGGGCTCTCTGGGGTGTAATGTATCCTCCACGTCCGTCACTCAGACCCAAATGCCTTCTGAGGTTAAACCCAACGCTTAGCGTTTAAAGATGGATTGCTATGGGCCGTGGCATAATGGACTCTGATACTCTATGCGGCCCAGCCAGCACGGCTCCACGGCTGAGCTACGACCTAGGAGCCAGGTCACGGTTCAATTCCCAGTCGGGGCACAGGCCCGGGCTGTGGGCTCAATCTCAGTCATGCAGGAGGCAGCCGATCCAAGACTCTCTCTCATCACTGATGTCTCTGTCCCCTCTCCCTCTCTCTCTGACATCAACAAAAATACGTTAAAAATTAAATAAAGGCACGAGGAGGCACCAGGCTGGATCTGGGAGGAGCGGAACAATTGGTGCGCGGACCCCGCTGACAGCTGAGCTGACAATGTCACCATGTCCTTGGTCAGACCAGTGGGAAGGCACGCCACCTCCCCCCAGCGGGTGCCCCGGGCCCTGGTGCCCGCCCGTCCTCTCCTGGGGCTCTGACTGTTGGGGATGAGCTGGGGTGGCAGGTGGGGTGGCAGCCTGGGCGAGTACTGTCACCGTCAGGAAGGTCAGGGGGTTTTCCCGGGAGACACCCCACGGGGGAGGCTGGGGACCCCGGGCAGGAATGCCTGCCCTGCCCAGGCTCCCGCTGCCCTTCTCCGGCGTAAGCCCGGCTGACGCGGTCCTCTCTCCACAGGCTGCCTCCCGGCAAGGACCAGCCCTCCGCTGAGTGCCCACGCCACGCGCCACCCGCGAACCACCCTGTCCACACCGAGAGGGCGAGGAACCGGCCTCTGACCCCGACAGGCATTTCTGCACCTGCCTCCTGCCTCTTCCCTTCCCCCACCGCCCTCCATCCCCCACCAGGCCTGTCACTGCTCAGCACTCCAGGGGCTGAGAATGCAGGCACCGCCCTGGTCCTCGCCTCGGACGGCCCGTCCCCAGCTCTGGGACTCACTTGTGGTACCAGCTCACACGCATCTCCTCGGTGAAGTATTTCATGAAGCACTGCAGCCTGATCCCGTCTGGGTTGCAGAGTATCTTCAGAGGAGACGCAGACAAGCCTGCAGAGAGTGGCACACTCAGACCTCAAACACACCCTGCCACGTGAGATGGAGCCACGTGATAGGAGGCCACGAGAGCGGGAGCCACATGAGTATGAGCCACGTGAGCGGGAGCCACGTGGGGGGCTGAGTCAGGGGGACGGTGCTGTAGGCAGGTCCTCGCCCAGCAGCGCAGATGAGCTCCCACGCCTGTGCATCTGTCTGTCAGCCTCAGATCCTCACACTGTCCCCTGCCACAGTCATTCGTCAAACCAGCACCTGCCACACCTGAATCACTGAACACAGTACGGAGAGATTCCTGCCTGCCCTTAGCTCAGCGTTTGACCGGGGGGAAGAAGGTGGATTGCGCTGTGACCCGGGAAGTGCTGTGCTCACTGATCCAGAGCCCAGCCAGCGGACATCTGCCAGCGACGGACCACAGGAGCCCAAGCCCGGAACGCTGCCCTCCAGACCGGGCGCGGTGCCAGGAGGCCTGCCCCCTTCCGGTTCTATGGCAACAGCACCGCGTGCAGCCTTCATCCGGGGGCACAGGGCACGCCTGCTCTTCCCAACCAGCACATCCCCAGGCAGACCATCGTCCACGCCACCACGGGAGGAAGTCCACGCCCATCCTGGGCCAGGGCATCCGCCGTGTCAGCGGTTTCTGTGCTCTCGGTTAGATACTCCGAGTCCCACCTGCACTCAGAGCCACGGTGTGCCCGTGCGCCTGGCCCCTCGGGGAGCAGCGCGCTCTGGGGAACCCTGTGCACCGGGGCGGCTGCCGAGGCCGAGGGCGGAGAGTGATGCCGTCAGGATGCCGGTGGGCGGAGAGGAGAGAGCCCACGTGAGTTACGGGGACCGAGCGTCCAAGGGGCCAGGCGGCAGGTGCCCTCGACGCTGGGAGCTCCCGGGTGACGGAGAGCCACTGCCCGTCCCCGGGACACGGCCTGTGACCGGACACTCCCGTGGCCACTCCTAAAACTCTGCACAGCCCACGGGCCCCTGGGGTGGGGCAGTGGTCGGCAAACTCATCAGTCCGCAGAGCCAAATACCAACAGCACAACGACTGACATTTCTTTGGAGAGCCACATTTTTGGAGAGCCAAGTAAATGTCTCCAATGCCACCTATTCAGCACAGACGGGCCCAGGCCGTGGTGTTTTGTGGAAGAGCCTCACTCCAGGGGCCAGAGAGCCGCATGTGGCTCGCGAGCCGCAGTTTGCCGACCACAGGGGTGGAGCACAGGGGGTAATAGATCCCATAACAGAGCCCACACCTGCATGGGCGGACTGACCGATATCTCCCCATCCACTTAATGAAAAGGGGAGAAAATAATAATAACACCAGCTTGCTCCTGGATCCCATTCTCCCGCTCTACTTATGGGGCGCCTCCTGCTCTGTGGCCCCTCATCCCCTTCTCCATCAGCTCCCACGGAGAGCACAGAGCGTGGCGACACTCCACTCGCAGGGAGTTAACGCCGAGGAGCCTCGGACGCCGCCCTCTGGCTGCGCTGTCACTGCGCCGGGGCCCCAGCAGGGCGGGCACCTGGGTCTTCCCCATCCTTACCCCCCTCACCCCCGACAGTGACACTCCCACCCAAACGACCCCAACGCCAGGCGGCACTGACTCACCGCAGACTCTGCTCATCGCCAGGATCATGTCCTCGTACACTGCGGGAGAGCAGACGCACGGTTACTGCATGGCATCGGATCAGTGAGGCCCTCTCACGTGTCATCACATGGCCATGGGACATGGCCACGTGCGTGTGGAAAGATATGTGTCACCATGGCGGTGTGGGGTAGCTCCCCCCATCCACTTCATAAACAAGGACAGGCTCGCTCCCCTGCGTCCGGCCGGAGCGGGACCGCCTCCCGCAGGCCGTCACGGCCACGCCAGGCGGGGTGAGCCTCGCTGTCTGGGGCGGGACCGCGGTGACACGGCAGCCGCCCACAGGACGACCACGCGTTCCACACGTGGCACCGCCCCACGCACAGCGCAAGGACAGGCCTGTTCCTCTCCCGGCGGCCGCTGACGGCCGTGCGTGCTCCGGCCGGACGCGGGAGGGGCCCGCCGCCCGGAGGTGAATGGTCTCTCCTCGGCGGACAGCGGGCACCCGTACCTTTGCCGGCGATCTCCAGGGTGGACACGTCCTGGCCTCTGTCGTCCTTCAGGGTTGCCTTGTACTCCCCATGGTCCTTCTTGGACAGCTGCGAGGAAGCACAGTGTGTGGTGAGGTGAAGGCCACCTGCTGCCCGGCCGGTGGCTCAGGGCGGAGCATCCACCGATGAGCCGGGAGGTCACAGGTCGATGCCTGCTTGGGCACAGGCCCGGGTTGTGGGCTCCATCCCCAGTGTGAGACAGGGCGGGGCAGGGAGAGGAAGAGGCAGCCGATCAATGATGCTCTCTCGTCATTGATGTTTCTCTCTCTCTCCCTCTCCCCTCCCCTCTGACATCAATAAAAACATGTTTTAAAAATGAAATGAAATGGAACCCCTGCTGACAGGTTTCCTTAACCAAACCATGGGAACCAGGCTGCAACCCAGGGACAAGGCAAGGCCTGCCAGCCCGAGAGCCCGTTCTGACCCACGTGAGGGGGGGGCACGTGGGGGAGCCACGTGAGGGGCCACGTGAGCGGGGCAGGGGCCACCACCTTGGGGAGCAGCAGCTCGCAGACGCCCCGCTCCAGGTCCGGCGGGCTCTCGGTCTCGAACAGGGCGTCGTCCTTCAGCCACCGGAACACCGTCTCCTTCTTGGTGTTGGCGACCTGGAGGCAGAGCCGGGTCAGCTGGAGCCCGAGGCTCGCGGGCAAGAGCTCTCGGTCCCGGCCTGGCCTCAGAGGACCCCGTGTGATCAGACACTCAGGCCTGCGGCTGTGCCCCCGGCCAGAGCGTCCGCCCCGCCCCCAAAGGTCAGAGTTCACTTCCCAGGGAGGACGGGCACCTGGTCTGGTGCTGCTCTCACGTGGGTGTTTCTCTCCCTCCCTCTCCCCTCCCTCCATGCCCCCTGCAGGGAGGAAGGCCGTGGGTCCGAACGGTGGCAAAGGCGTCTCTGAGGCCTCGCCTGCCGGGAAGGCCCTGCCCGAGCCCCTGGGGAGACGCCTGTGGTGACCACGATGGCACGATGGGACGAGCCATGGCAGTGCATGGTAGTGGTTCACCACGTGGAGCGTTCTCCGGGGCCAGGACCCCGGCTGGGGCTGCTCCCCGGGCAGTGCCATCCCGACACGCCGCCACGGGGGGAGGCACGTCCCCCAGTCGGCCCCGTGCAGGGCCTCCAGCCCAGGCCGCACAGACGGCCTCAGAACCAAGCATTCGAGGGCCCAGGGCTGCCACCTGCTCTGCCTGCCCCGCACCCAGCGCTCACGCCAGCTCCCGCTCCTCCGGCCGCTCACCTTGCAGACCAGGCGGACCTCACACTCCTCGGTGACGTCCCAGTGCAGGTACTCGGCGAAGTGCGGGCCTGGGGGGCAGAGGGAGAGGAATCACATTATATAGTGACACGTGTGCATGTGTGTGCATACGTATGTGTGTGCACATGTGTGGGTGAGTCTAAGTGTGTGTATAAACATGTGTGTTTCGTGTGGGGTGTGTGTGATTCATATGTGTGTGTGTGTGTGTGTGTGTGTGTGGTTTGTGTGCATGTGTCTGTGTGCACGTGTCTGTGCATACTTGTGTGCATTTCAGGCCGAAGGGAGCAGCTGTTCCACATGAACCGGGAAAGCCCGTTTCCAGGCTCTGACATGGACGTGTGCACAGCCCGCTCCCTCTCCTGCCGCCCTCCCACCTCCTCTGCTCCTTGGAAAGCAGGCGGAACCCTACGTCCTCCCCAGGCCCCTGCCACTGCGGCCACGGCCACGGCAAAACCCTCACCACGGAGGTGAGCGGAGATGAGACGAGAACGCAGCCTGGCCCAGCCACGTTGTCAACACATCATGTTCTCAATTCAAACGTGATATGTCTTTTAAAACGGTGTGTTTGTTTAAAGGAAACTTAGAAGTAATTAACAGCAATGCCATTAGCCCATTCAACACACACATGTGAGGCAGATACACAAAGTGTTTACTGAATTCCTCAAATAAACATATCCCAGAAAGTTAAAAAGTTCATGCTGCAGAAAGGGGTACAATAAAGTATGTTTGACTATTAAAAATAAAAATAGCCGAAACCGGTTTGGCTCAGTGGATAGAGTGTCAGCCTGCGGACTGAAAGGTCCCAGGTTCGATTCCAGTCAAGGGCATATGCCTTGGTTGCGGGCACATCCCCAGTAGGGGGCGTGCAAGAGGCAGCAGATCGATGATTCTCTTTCATCGATGTTTTTAACTCTCTATCCCTCTCCCTTCCTCTTTGTGAAAAATCAATAAAATATATATTTTTTTAAATAAAAATAAATAAATAAATAAATAAAAATAAATAAAAACAACGAACTTAAAAAGAACATCTTGATGGTATATTTCATTATCCATGTTCTAATGTTTTTTAACCGGCAGAGAAACCGCACATAAAAACCCCATTGGAAAAGTAAGCCCTTGCGTTCTTGTTCAGGCTCTAAAATGCATCCATTTTACTTTGTATCTGGTGGGCATACATGTTTTTAAAAATGCATTTAACACAACATGGACTGTTTGCAGCTAAAACATATGAAAGTCAAAACGCTCCCCTGGTTTTCAATAAAACAGCAGGTTCCCGGGAAAAGAGCAAAGGACAGAAAAGGCCCCACGTGTCCAGAGCCAAGTGCTGGAGCCAAATACCAACAGGACAACGATCGACATTTCTTTGGAGAGCCACAGTTTTTAAACCTAAACTTCTTCTAATGCCACTTCTTCAAAATAGACTCGCACAGGCTGTGGTGTTTTGCGGAAGAGCCACACTCAAGGGGCCAAAGAGCCGCCTGTGGCTCTCGAGCCGCGGTTTGCCGGCCAGGAGCCTAACTGAACTCTCCAGCCCTCACCCTGGGCTCCGTGCCACCCGCGGGCGGGCAGGCCGACACCCACCTTGTTTCCGGATAAACTCTTTCCGCTGGAACTCAGCCTCGTCCAGGACGGCCTTGAACGCTGCATTCGACAGGAGAGGGGGGCCGTGAGACACGTTTCCCGCCAGCGGGACGGGCCTGGGACCCTGCGGGCGCCCGGGGCCTACCGTCCCCGATGAGGACCAGGGAGGACTGGTTCTTGGCCTTCCCGTCGTGGATCTGCACCGTGTAGGTGCCCTCGTTCTCCGCCGTGAACTGGTCCATCACCATCTCGATGACGCCCGTCGCCTTGTCGCACTTGATCTTGTGCGTCTGGAGGCCACGAGGGAGACAGGACCCGCAGTGAGACTCCGCCCTCCGCCCGGCTGGGGCCGGACACGCGGAAACACGGTGGGATGGATCCACTGAGCCGTGGGGACCGGACACCAAACCCAGACACAGTGGGCCCCCGGGGACCCCAGGCCGATGTGTATGGGGGTGGGGGGCGGCCAGCAGACACACATCCCAGACACTCACCAAACCTGACACCACTCACACATGCTCACTCATACACACACATACACCTGTGTGTGCGCACTCACATGCACTCACATATACACTCACACATTCGCACACTCATACACACACTCACACACAAACAGGCACCGTGCTGACACTCATATGCACTCACATATACACTCACACATATACACACACAAGGCACCCATGCACTCACACACTCACACACACAGGCACCCATGTGTGCATGTGTGTGCGTGCGCACACACACACATACACCCGTGTGCACGCTCACATGCACACACAGCTACACACACGCGCACACACATGTGCACACTCATACACACACAAACACGTGCACACTCACACACATACGCACGCGTGCACACTCACCCACATACACACACGTGCACATACACACACATACCGGTGCACACGCACACACATGCCCGTGTGCACACTCACACACACACTCACCGGGCTGTCGGACACCTCCCGGTCGTTGATGACGAAGCGGAAGCTGGCGTCGGGGGACAGCTGCTCAGCCTGCAGCCAGAAGCGCACCTGGCCGTGCTCGAACACCTCGTAGGCCAGCTCGGACTTGAGCGGCACGGCTGTGGGGTGGGGGTGGTCTCAGCGGGAGGCCCTGCGGCTGGGAGGCCCCAGCAGAGAGCCCGGGGGGCGGGAGGGCTGGGCACCCAGAAACAGAAAATTCCGCGCCAAGCCCCCCACTGCTCCAGGCAGGCAGCCTTCTGGGGTCCCCTGCCCCCAGGGTGCCCTCTGTGTCCCGTGGATTCAGTAACCGAGGATCCCCTCAGCCCAGCAGCCACCCGAACCCCAAATTCAAAACTCGCAATGTCCTGAAGGTTCCTACGAGCCACAGTCAAAGCTGGCGTTGGTGTAAGTGAGCTGGGGGGCTGAGCAGAAAGGGGTCTCCCCAAACAAAGCCGGGCGCCCCACCCCACCCCCCTGCCACACCCACCCCAAACAGCCATGTCTGCCAGCTCACGTACTGGGGTTTTTTATCTCGTTGCTCAGCGCCATCAGCCGGTCCAGCTCTGCAGGAAGAGAGCATGCCGTGGGCGTGGACTCCGGCCCCGACGTGCCCGCGGTTAGGAGGCTGCCCAGCAGGGGGCGCCTCACATTGAACCAGAAGGGAGAGGAGGCGAGGTGGCCCCACGAGCCAGTGGCCACTGACCAGGGACCACGCACACCTGCCAGGGCCCAGCTCGTGGGCGGGGCACGTGGTGCAGGGCATGTGGGTGGGGCCAGACTGGGCGGGGCATGTGGGTGGGGTGTGGGGTAGGGCACAATGAGTTCCCCCTTGCTCCCCGTGGGCCTGGCATCCGTGTGAGGATGTGCGGCTAGTGCGCCCCCCGCTGCCCACACCGCCGAGTGCAGGATGAGGACAGCCTGGGAGCTGGTGTCATTTCTGTGAACGGGGGCTTCTCCACACGGTCTCCATTCCCCCCCCCCAACACCCCTGTTCCCAGGGAAACGCATCCTTGGCCTCAGAGCCCCCGCTCCCGCCCGCACGCCTACCTGCCTCGTCCAGCACGAAGCTGGAGGACACCCCGTCCG